AGGTGGAGAGGGCTGAAACATGAACATCAGAGGGTATTATAATTTTCTCAGGTATACACAGTGTACTTCATTCTATATGAATATGGAAGTGGGAGGAAAATACTACAAGCATTATCCTTTTTTTTCAGTTTTAGATTAAAGCAGGACAAACTGGGAGATTTACACAAGCAGTTCATTCATTAACAGAAGAGGACCTACTGTACCCAAACCCCAGGTTATATTAAGAGAGGGTCAATGCATTCCTTCTGAGGCTTTTGAAGTTCATTCTTCATTAAGCTGCATGCCATTTTGCCTTGGAAGTGGGAGCTCTCATCTCTATCAAAAAGTCTCCTTGAGAAACTCTGCAGGTTACACAGCTCCTAAGTGGCAGTTTAGACAAGAGACTCCATCCACAGGCCTGATTAAAGACGAAAGTCAATGGCAGCATTTTTATCAATTAAGTGTTTGCCCTCCCATGCAATCACCAGTTATGACACATTTGGGTTTGTCACTCCAAATAACGTGGGCACACCTTAGACAAACCATGCAGAGGAGGAGTGCTGTGATTTAAAACAAGTTTGTTCCTTTTAATCTAAAAGGAAAAAGGAAAGAAAGTTTGCAGCAATACATCATGCTTCTCCAGCTGCTAATCTTTTCCATTTCACACCCACTGATCATTATCACCATGAAAAAATATTCCCGTCTTAAAGGCAGATCTAAGGTTGTAACCTTGGTTGCAATCAAGAGTAGATGAGATTAATGTTTCCCAACACATTCCCTGCATGTCATCCCAGTGCTTTTCCAAAACACTCATACCCAAATGCTGCTCTCAGGTCATTTTTCTAAAAAAACTCCAAACTAACATTGATTTCAGAGATGTAGGAGACACAACTGGGTTACAAAAATTATCAAAATTCTAAAGACTCCAGAGCCAGCAGAGGCTGAAGTCAGAAGCTGTGCACATCACTTTTGAAGGGAGATTTTCAGGACACTCTGTGCAGCTGAAGACACAACCTTGATCATTCTTTCAGGTGTACTCTATATTTATTAAAGTTTGGGTGGATATAAGGATATGGCTTGTGAGCCTTGATCCTTCTGAAATTAAATCTCCTGCTGAATAATCTGTTCAACTCCCAATTAATGATGTTTCTAAAAAGATCAACACTTCACATTTGCAAAGCACTTTCCCATGGATGTTAGCAACAGTGGAGTTTAATCTAAGTGACTAATGTAAACCATCTCATCTATAAACAGAGAATTAATGAATCACAACAATAAAAATGCCACTAATAATAAGCTTCCATTGTTCAGAGCATTGTTAATCCTTTTTTTTCATACTCCTAGATGATCTGGATATTCCAATACAACAGTGACAAGAGCCAGGGAATACCTTATAATGCTGAAGTTGAAATTTTGACTTTTGGTGGTAGGAGATAGAACTTTTATAAAAAGACAACAATCACTGAGGTCACTGCAAGCATGAAAAAAAAACCAAAAACAATCAAAACTGAAGTTTGTGACTTCTTATCTCCCACCTTCCTGTTCCACCCCAGCCCTGCCAGCAAACAGAACAGCTTGGTGCTTCAGCTTTGAGACCCTGGGCTCCCTGAGCACAAAGTCCCAGGCAGACCTCAAGTAAGGTGTGAAACACTGTCCTGCATCCTCTGCACTGTGCCCGATAAGAGTTCCCATATCAACAGCATGGCACCGAAATACAAGAGGGAAGTGAGTAAAGTCAGCTCTGGATTGAATCCAGTGTCTGTGCATCAATAAAGATGTTCCCAACTGCAGTCTGAGGCAGATAACCAAAGGACTGCCCGGCCACGTGCACTTTTTTTTTTGGCAGCTGAAGAAATCAATGCCTCTTAAGGAAGTGGGTTTGAACATTTGTATTGCAAATTTACCCCACAATATTCAGCCACAGGCTCTGCTAAGTCCCACCAGCCTTTCTAAATGCAATTCCATGCTGACAGTGGTAGGGGTGAGGGAGCTGCTTGCCCCCCAGCCCACGTGAGCAGCAGCATCACTCTATCGCACCCGAGCTAAATTGGGGAACACTTCCCTGCCCTTATCTCTCCTGGCACCAGCTCCTCAGCCCCATGACTGCACTGCTGGGAGCAGCTCCCAGGGCCAGGGGAGCTCCTTGAACAGCTCATTAGTGGAGGTAACAACAGCTCTGGGTGACACATGCAGTGCTCCTGGGTCCTGGCTCCTGGGGGACAGGAGCCAGCCGCTCACAGAGCAAGGCAGGAGCAGCTGTCCCAGCCCAAACCTGCAACATTGCTGAGCTCCAGCTCCTGGCAACCTCATCAACAAGTGAACAATAAGGTAAGGCTGAAATGAGACACTGAACCACAAAAACACAACACTCATTATTACAGGATATGTTTTCCACCTTATTTCTTAATCTTCACTCTTATCACGGCCAGTGGTCTCATCATTACAGGCTGTGACCTCTCAGTGGTCACAAGCTCTGCAGAGGCAGGACAGATGATTTCTACAGAAGAGGTAAATAGAAGTTCAAGCAGCCAAAAGACCAAGAAGGATACAGCAGGTGGTCTTCCTTCCTTTTGTGCACACTGATTTGAGTAATACAAGAATCTCTATCTCTCTATTGGTGTGAATGTGGAAATACCATTTTTTCCATCACCCAAAAAACTTTGGCCCCAAGTACATTGGACATCTCCAGGTTCCCAAACCCTTTTTCTTAATTATAACTTATGAAATCTGGGCAACCTGGTAATTACCAGATAGGATAAAGTATGCTTTAGCTCTCTAATTGGCTTCCAGGAACTGAACTGGAGACATCATTTTTTTACTTTCTCCTCCTAAAAGCTCCTCCTAAAAGGAGTTCAGTAATGCTGCTAATGAAAACAACTATCTAATGGATATTTCAGGATGAAACTCATGGCAGATTTAGTAAAAAACAAAAAATTTACCTGCATAATCTTTAATCTAAGATATTAGCTTAAAAGAGGAAGATGCAAAGGTGTCAAAAACAAAAGGGTCAAGTGTGGAAGAAGCATATTTTCCTGAAAGTAAAGATAGGGAAATCCTCTGACATGTCAGTATTGCCTGTTATTTCCAGTCATTCACAGAGATGAAATTCCTCATGGAGGAATTAACAGGATACTGTTCTCAGTAATTTGGAAACAAGATCAAGGAGGCTGTATGTGAAAAATGGAGTTGCCATCACCCTGAAGAAGGAATGTGGTGAGGTTTGTTATTTGCCTCCCAACAGCCAGACCACAAGACTGCTGTGTCTGCCTTTAGAAAAATAGAAATACCAGGAAGATACCCTTTTCTTTGTGTTCTGCTGGCACCTAACAACTCTCAGATGAGCTGTCAATTAGCAACACATGGAAAACAAAACTGATCTTAAAATGTACAAAGCATTTATACTGAGAGCAAACACAAAAACTAAATCTTGACCTTTCAAATTTCCTTAAGCTACCAACAAATTTGTTTTTTGGAAAGGGAGCTGATCTGTGTATACACCTGGCCAGGGGAAGAGGAGAGAAAAGGGAGACACTGATGTATTAATAATGTAACTTATTTGCATTGCAAAGAAACACTATACCAAGTGCCATACAATCATTATTTTACATCAGGCTACATTTGACCTCAGCCCAGTTTTCTGTCACGTGGGGATGAGGACTTCTAAGTGTACCACTTCAGTATTACATATTCAATGAAACCCCACACAAAACAGCAGGAAAATAAACTAATTCAGTAGATAAGCCTGAGAAAAGAAAGCCATTAGCAAAGTCATACACTGTTCAAATGATATGAGGATAATTTAGTTCTGCATTACATCATTCACGCGTTTCTTCTGTAGCAATTTCATAATATATTTGCACATAAGTTCCATTCTCTCTTAATGCGTCCTAAGTTTCAATGAAGTAACTTCAAAGTCAAGGTACATTCAGTAGACTTGAGATTTAACGAAATTCAGGCAACATTTAGTTTCAAAATTCAGCATATGGTGTACTCCTGGAAAGCCACTCTACAAAATCAGGTCACACTACGTAGTATTTAAATCTTGCTTCAAGCACAGACTTAGGACAGCGGGTAGAGAATAAATTCCAATGCAAACTTCTAGTTGGTAATTAAAGGTAGGCAAAATTTAAAAGCCTACACGGCATTAAAGGTCAATATGATCCATTACTGACAACACGCAACACCCTCCAAGATAAAGGTCTATCACCAGTCCTGATTGTTTCTCCTTCTTTCCCCTTAAAAGCCACATTTGCAAGCAATTTTCCCTTCAAATTTTCCATCCTCATATCCAGCTCTGCCCTGGCTGGCGAGGTCTGTGGGCAGGACCACGAGCTGCAGCAGCTCAGGCTGCTCGCAGCATGGCAAGGTGATGTGGAAAGCAAACAGTTACAGAGCTGGCTGGCAGCTTTGGCACAGATTTAACACACGCTCACACACCCCCGCTCATCCAGGTCTGATTTGACAGTGCCCATGTTCTCCAACAAAGCTGCTATTCAGAGCCAGGGGAAGCTTGTTCCTTATTAATGGAGGTTACGAGCTCGGAGAGGCTGACGTAAACCCTGCCCTGCTGCAGCCCAGCCCTGCGCTGCCTCCTGGTCCTCCCTGCCACGTTTGAAACTGCAAACAGAAAAATATTATCACAGTGGGCAAGCCCTGCACATTGGGATGCTCTGTTTTCCACACCAGCAATTTCTTCTCAACACATCAAGTGACACGAGCACAGCCACGCACTCCAGCACGCTTTGGAGAGGAAAAACAGAAGGGGGGGATACCTGCACAGGGACAGCACTACATAGCTCAAAACCTACTTAAAACAGTCTGCTGGAAACCAGAGGGGCTCTGTGACTTACCTGAGAGTGTCACCACTGAGCATCTGCAACTGAATTAATACAAATACAAATACAAACTGAATTAATACAAACCTCTTTGCTTAGGGAGCAAAGAAGCAGCATCTCCAAAAAGTGTTTTGTGGGAATAGTAAAGTGTAAATAAAATAGTAAAGTGTTTTAATTGGTACTCACATACAACGGAGCTTGCTGTGGATTAAGTTTCATGACCTCAGCACACTGAAACAAAAAAGAAAAAGCAAGTTTAAGCTATTTTTCATAAAATTGTAGGTCCTTCTCTATAAGTTGCTTTAGCACTCACACATTCCTTTTCCCAATAAGCACTTTTTTTCTTCCACTTCACACCTCAGTTCACCTTTCCTCCCAGCAATCCTCACTTCATATCTGCTTTTTATGGCAATTATCAATCCTTAATTGAAATCCTTCCAGCAATTTCCCCACTCCCCCAGGAAAACTAATTTATGAGTATTTGCAGTTCTCCCTGCTGCTCAAGAAATTCAACCTTGTCCAAGGTAATTTGGTGTCATTTTTTACCCATTTCACTGGATTATTTGTTACAAAACATTTTAAAACTACATAGAAAACAAACTAACAAAAATGCTCTGAAGGAAAAACTTCCATAATATATGATGCTCGTATTCTGATGAGAATTTTTCTTAATCAAAATCTACCATTACTCATCCTGCAAAAGCTATTTTAGTCAAGAATCTTTCCTCTTTTTCGGTCTGTCCCTGGAATTTCTCTATAACCTGGTGAAAGTTTCTTATATTGAGTTTTGAATCAGTTGAACCAGAATTTCTCTTGCATTAGTTCCTTCACTCCAGCAGAAAATATTCTCTCTAAACAAAAACTCTAGGTTTCCATTTAATGTGTGTATTAAGCGATCCAGGATTCTAAGATGAAGGAATGCAAAACAATTAAAAATGGAATTTCTGCTGTTACTCATGTCTGCAAAACTGGTAATGCTCTGCAAATACTTCAAGCTCTTTTTAAAATAGATGAAATACCATTCTGCTTTTCACACCAAAAATGCAGGATCGTGTTCATACTTTGCTCCTTTCCAAATCCCACAGTTTGCCTTTAGTGAGACAGAAATTAAACCACAGCCTAAATTCTCTTAGCTGATTCCAGCTAGCCTCGCTCCCTCACACGCTCTCTTTATTTTACAAAATGTTTTTGCGCCAGTTGATTTAAAATACCGAGCGACCTGCCAAGCTTGTGCATCAAAACAGCCCCTCTGCAAAAGGTCCTCTGAGGCAGCTAGCAGATGGACAAGTAATTGCAAGAGTTTTAAATCAGTCCAATTCATACCTGCTTTCAACCTTGAGATTCCCCTTTGTACAGCAAGAACACCCCAGAATGGTTAGGCCTGATAGTTTTCCCTGTATTTTGAGCTCTTACAAAAACTTACTCAAGAAAAGAGGGGATTAGTAGCACTAGCTGCCATTTGGGCAGGTGAGCTCCAAGAACAGCTCTGCAAACAATCTTCACATGTGCCCTACAACATGTCCCTGGCAGTTCCAGTCCTACTGAGAGCTCAAAATTTAAAAAAAGAAACAAAACCAAAAAATGCACAAAACCTGCCAAGCTCCCTCATGACCTACCTGAGCCGCTCTCTCCTGTTCTGAACCTAGATGTCCTAAACAGGAGCATAAAAACATTGCCTAGACAAGAGCATTTATTGTAGCATATAGAAATCGAATCATGCTTGAAAAAAGTTCTAACCTTTCAAGCTCACTTCACATATGATTTTTAGAATTTCTCATTGGTATAGACTAATTCCCTGTGAATTCAAACTCATGACAGTTTTTGGTGGGTTTTTTTTCTGGCAAGAGAGTGCACAGCAGCAGTGAAATAAGGTGACACTGCTGAACACCAGGTCTTGTCAAAAAGTCATGGGAATACTTCCTGGAGGAAGATTTTTTTACCCCCTCTTATTTTACTGGTTGGCCCTTACATCAGTCACTTAAAGTGATTCCTTGTTTCATAATGTACATGTCATTCCAATTTTTCTAAGGATGCAAACTTAGTTTGCAAGGAGCCAGGCAGGCTTGGAAGATATTTCATTTTATCTTGTTAGGTAGTTCTTTGGCAAAAACACAGGCGAAAACCTGAGTGACTGATAAGTCTGAATGACTACTCTGTGTCAGTAAAGAACTAAATTTAGGTTTCTAGACAAGTGAATTTCTCCAACCAATAGGCAGGCAGGGAGAAGCCTCTGAAAAACTTTAATCCAGTAAGAAGAGGAAAAACAAAAAGCAGATCATACTGGTCATAACCTAGCCAAGATACATAGGGATCCTAATACAGTCAGTAAGTTGGACTACTTCAAGTGTAAAAATGAGGAGAGAAAGGAAGCTAAACAGCTAAACTTTGTTTTGCCTTATTATTGGACAAGCACATCCTTTAAGCCAATGCCTGCTCTGAGCCCCAGAAAGCCATTTCTATCTTTTGGGGCAGGAAGAACTTGCTGTACCAGATACAGAAGAATGCAGTGAGAATAACTGGACCTACAGTGAAATCAGGATATGGCCTGCACATGGACTGTCTTGAAAGCCAAACTAACAAGAACAGGTAAATATAAAGCCCACCTTCCTTGCCCAGCTCCCACCCAACACCCTCATGGCAGCCCACAGATTCTGTTCCAGTAGCAGCTGCCTGCACTTAAAACATTTATGGCATTTCTCACAAATAGCTAAACCAATTTCAGTGGCTGGGAGGTTTATCACAAACTCCATATACATCCAGACAATTACACTGCAAGGTTTCTAGAATTATATTCGGTTTTCCACCTTAGGATAACACAGTGAAATCCCTTGTATTTGCAAATTGGAAAGTAGGACATGAAATGAAAATCCAGGTTCAAGTTCCTCAAAGCAACAGTGGTTTCAGACATTATAAAAATCTGCAGATGTCAGTAAAATAGAAAGCTACTGGAGCCTTCTTAAAATGGGACAGACACCTTTCTGCTCTGTTAAGTACTGAAGAATTAATACAGTGAGTTCTATTAATGTCTCTTCTAGAGAACTTCTGTGTTATTTCACACAGGATTTCATGGATGAAGACAAATGACTGCTCTTCACTTCTCTGGGTATGGTAATATATGTCAGGGAAAGAAAGGAAAAAAAAATCATTTATTTGCTTTACTGTGGTTCCCAAAAGCTCATCCAGAATTAGGGCCCCATTGGTTACATGCTGTAAAAATGTCAATGCAAACGAAGTTTCTGCCCTAAAGAGTTTACAAATAAGCAGAGGCAGCAGGAAGGGATACAAGCCCCTCGTGCCAAAGCAATAAACCCTCTTCTCATCCACTGCCCCCAGCTACCACTAATTTGGCCTTAATTAGGTGGCTTATTTCTTCTAGGCATTGCAGGCAAAGTGTGTATCATGAGGACAAATGTGACAGGGAGGTCAGTGCCCCTCCAGGCCAGCCCATCCCCTCTACAGTCTGTAGGGCTGAAGGACTTTGAACACCATGAATGCCAAAGTGCCTTTTCCATTTTCCCATCACACCCTGGTCAGGATTGCTCTTTTTGGCAGTGGGCTAAATCAAATGCTGGTTTCACTGCCCAGCTTCTGTGAGCTCCCCAGCATCCACTCCTGGCTGCCTGGCTCCATATGAAGAGCATTTAAGAAGGAAAACACTCTCATATGAGAAAGTGGCACTCTCAAGAGTTGTCCATTAATGAATTTGTTTTCATTTTTTTTACCAGAAAGAAGATCTACAGGATGAGCAGAAACAAAAACAACAACTGTTGCCTGCAACAACTGAGCAGAACTGCAACAAGAAAGATGAGGGGTATTTAATCCACGTGGTACAGCTGGGAAAGCCTACCTACCCCTTTCCCTCTCCCTCATGCACTAAACAAACTTCAATTGTAAGTGTTTGAGTGTTTTCAAGCTTTTCAAGTTCAGTTTTTAGGTATTTTAAATAAACTTCAGCTAGACATATACTTCAAGTTTGAGCTGAACTTTATCTGAATCTCAGCACTTGACCTTTTCATTTCTCATTTTACCATTTGATTTTGAGAAACACTGATCGTTATTTGCAAAGCTTTACCCATGCATTCTCAGCTGCACCAAAGGAAAAAACCAAAGCCTGGAGAAAACCTAACCCAATCATAAAGAGCTTGTGGTTGTAGGCAAGAAAGAACAGCCAAAAAACACATGAAGAATCTGATGGTTACGGATGGCATGGAAAGCATTCCAGTAGATAAACAGAAATGCAGAGAAAGCAGGATGGCTTTCCAGCTGTAAGTATCACAGAGTCGCTGGGATGAAAGCCAAAGAGGATTTACTTTTTTTTTTTTGATGCAACAGAACTTACTTTGTAAAAATTATCCTCTAACACTGGTTTGAAGAAACTACACTTTGATTTCAAGGCTCTGGAATAACAATTCACCAGTTAGTCCAAACTACATATATCCTATAGAAATTAGGAAAACCGTACTGATGCTAGTTATCTGCAAGAGAGCAAAACAAATAGAATTTATTTTATATATTTCTTTGAACAGGGGGACCCATAACTCACAGTTGGGCAACCTGCCTTAGAGGCAACCCTTGAGGCAAATAGCCCAGAAGTTGTGAAAGAGTTTAAAGAAATCCCAGGGTTTCCTGGGAGCACACATTCACCTCCCTTGCTGAGCTGCGTCACTTCCTTCTATATGGCTGCACTACAAAATTAAAACCAAGATTCCAAAACCACATCACTTCTCATTCAACAAAGCACAGTGTCCTCCAAGGCACTCTTGGTTCTACAAAATGTTAATTTATGAAGTACTTGGAAATATCAAGAGGATTTGGTTTCAGGCCCTACAGAGCTGCTGCTCTAAATGACACAAGATAAATAAAGATGGAAAAGTGGTGAGGGGAGCAGAGGGGAGACCAACTGCCCATACACAGAGGAATTCCTGCTGGAGCCATGATTTCATGCAAAGAGAACTAAAATAGCAATGTCTTCCACAAGTTTATTGTTCTCCCTTAGTGTCAGGGGACTTGCTAAGATGGAATATTCCCCTTTTCTTCTGAGTGGTATATGACCTTTATTGTGTTGTACTACCCATCAGCAGTCTCCTCATTTTTTTGTTATAACACAATTCTTTGAAAAAAGGCTCTTCTTGGTTTAGTTTGGGGTTTGTTTTCTTTTTGGTTTTTTTTTCACCTTTAGCAAAAACTCTGAAAATTGAAAGAAACAATGACATGATGTTGCTTTTATTACT